ATACATACATACATACATATATACATACATACATACATATATACATATATCTTTACATGTATAAATACATATATATATATATATATGATGCATAAGTGTACGTTAAATAACAATTCAGACCAATGGCCAAATAACCAGATATATTATTGCATGTATGCAGTAATAACAACTGTATATGAAGTTGTGCGAACAATCATCTTTTTTTCATTTTTTTTTTTTTTTTATTATTTATTTATTTATTTTTTTTTGTTTATTTATTTATTTAGTTCTTTATTTTTATTTTTATTTTTTTTATTTATGTATTTATTTATTTATTTATTTATTTATTTTTTTTACTTAAGTGAAGTTAGACAAGTTACTATTAGCAATTGGAAAACTTGAAATTTCCACGTTTTGTGCTCCAAGAGATTCCAAATGCATGTGTATGTTTAGTTGGAAATAAAAATTGAAAACAACTCAAAGAATTTCGCTGGAACGTAGTGCTATGCTGAACAGAAAAACTGGACTAACGAGAACAACATACATACGTTTAAAATTTCACTAAAAAGTGAGAAGTCTTCATCAAATCGATACACATTGAGCTGCGCATTACCCTACGTTGCATTGATTTACGAATTGTGTTACGAATATTTCTCGTCCCATCATTTCATTAAATTCCATCTGTATCCTACATGGTCAATACATTATTTGCAATTCATTAAAAGAGAAAGAGAGAAAGAGAGAAAGAGAGAGAGCATCAGACAGAAAATGATGGGCGAAGGGGGGGGAAGGAGAAATGAAAACTGGGTTTAATGACTGATAGCGAAAAATTGATGTATTTTTCTTGAAATGATTTTTGATATTGATATATATATATATGCATTAAAATTTCATGTACATTTTTTTTATGTAATATTTTGATTGGCAAACAAGTTCATCAAGTTACTAAGTAAGTTTGTAAGGATTTTTAAACTGTTCATATTTACATACAGATCGTTAAGGGAAGATCAATTTAATGCTTACATAGTCTATTCAAAAAAAAAAAAAAAAAAAATCGATCACAAGAGTAAAAAATTAAGTAATTTCATTGCGACAATGCTTGGATATATTTAAATTGTAAATCTATTGTACCGCCTTGGTCGTGCTTCTGCTAATTTCACTTTATTCGATGGCGTCACTACCGATACCGAAATAAGAATTTGACTGAAGATACTTATAATTTGAATACAAGCTGATGGGCAAGTGGATTTGATTCGACTAACTAGATGAGATAAGCTCCTGAGCGATCGACATTAGGTGAATGAAATGGGTGTCGATGTGTCTTGTTTTTGATTTTAGGATTTTCCAATGCATTAACGTATATCTTGAACAATAAGACGCATCTGCTTACATAGAATGAAATGAACTCAAATTTTGGGTGCGTCTTATGATCCGGCAGTAACATTAAAACATTTTTTCAATAAATCGTCTCTAAATTTAATTTTCGAAAAGAGTGACAACAATAGTTTACATGAAAGTAATACGAATGATGACATTAACGAGACGAGTGTGCGTACCGAGAGTGAAGATGAACTGAATATTGTCGTACAGTATACGAATTATATTAAAAATAAATAAAAATTTTTATCCGTAAGGAACATTAAAATATATCTGAAGTGTTTATCTTATAGTTCGAAAAATACGGCATTTTAACCTTCAAATTTTTACATGAAATAAGCAAGAAGAGCCTTCTTCACCACTCGACAAGTTTTAATAGCGTTTTCAAATAAAAATTGTTTAAAACTGATTGATGAAATAAAGGTTTGCTTGTATTAGTTGGCAAAGTGCTTCGTCTGATTCCAATTACGAGAAAGCAGAAATGAAACAAATTATGAGAGAACAAAGGCCTTAATAGTGACATGGAATGTTTCTGCTAAGATTTCATCTCGTGATATGAATTTGCTGACAGGAAATGCGTGTTCTTTGCTAGCACATGATTATCATAATTTTTAAAATTAAAGGGAAATGAATTGAATAAATGTTTATATCGCGGATGTAATCACATTATATTCAAGGTCGGGGAGTTGAAAGATTATCCATCTTGCTTGTATGACTTAAAAGCACACTTCAAAAACCTTGTAACGTGTGCAGATTCTCAATTGGATCAGTATCCTGAATTAATGTACACGTTCTTCTCATTAGAAACTGTATTACTAAAGCTGCTCTAATCTTAAACTATCCTCTTCTGTCTTGAACACTTCTCAAGCTAAATCATTCCTGATTGTTTATGGCAAAAGTCGATTTTGTTAAAAAGAAAATTTCATTCCGATTTCATATACAAATGTCAGTAATTTAAATGTAGAAGTGTGTATGTGCTTGTGCGTGAAACCGGTAAAACTACTTGCTTCAAACGTTGAAGTTACGTCTACATGGGCGACCGTTTCATTAAACGATATGATATGAATTGTCTGGCTGTCTGTTTTAGTTGGATGACAATGTTTGCCCAAAAAAAAAAAAAAAAAAATTCGAATAATTTTTATTCTAATATAAGTGTCGGTATTTAAGTTTTTAAGTCGTTCACGTTTTTTTTTTTTTTTGGTTTTTTTTCTATGACCAGCCATTCGGAGAATGTGCGCTATACGTGCGGGAACGTGCGTGATTAGGGTTATAGGAGGAGTGAGGTGAAAAAAAAGAGTATTGTTTATAGTAGATATCAGGTACCGCAGGAAAGACCACTGCTAATAGGTTGTTTGAAAGGTGGGCAGTGCGGTTAAAAATCGACGAGTCGCCGTAGTGTGCTGTGCGTTATACAGGTAAGTCCAGGAGAATGCTGAGAAAGACATGTAGTCCTGTGGAAGAATTTGATTGGTGAACATAGCCCTTTTATCTCCTTTTGAATACTTGCACTGAATGAACCGGTAACCGTAAGCGCAAGACGTCATTGCCCAAGAGTATCTAGAGTTCTGAATGCATTTCCCTGCGTCTGCCCTGAGTACTTAAGCATTTCGCTATATGCGGTCGAAGACCGCCAAGTAATGCTACAAGGCTCCCGCCCCTGCCTACAAGTTATAGCATACTTTTTACGGGTTATAGGCGGTGTAAATGGCACGGATATCGGGTGCAGTGAACTTGAGACGTTGAGGCTCATTTAAACTTTGAATTTAAAATTTTCATTTATTTCTTTCACTTCACTTTGAATTAATACTCAACAGTTCATTATATATTCAAAATTAACCCCTTTTGTTTCTTTAACAATACGTACCGTAATGGGCATCACAGTCTCGCAGTCAGAGTAGAGGATTTCCCATAAGATGCATTTGGCATAAAGATGCATTGGGGCACCATGCATAACATTTTCGGACTATATATAACCACCGCAGTATCGCATTTAATTCTTCGCTTCCTTGCTTTAGGTGTCAAAAAATGACGCACAGCTTAGACAGAACAGTAATGTGCTGTGCAGTATCTGTTGTAAACACTCGTCTGATCGTGAAAATGAAGGTAGCGTTTTCAAATTTGTTGTCGAGTGACACGACTATAGCATTGCATAAACTAAGATTAGCTCTACGACAATTTCTCAACGATGTTTTCACTCTTTGCTCTACACCCGATACAAATTTCCACATACATACTGCAAATATGGAACTGATCCGTCATGCTTTACGGCTCATCGTCGTAGGATCGTGTACGAATTTTGAGGTTAAAAATGAATTTAAGAAGCACTGTAATTGAACTCTGAAGATACATCTTGTTTACGAAATAAATACCAGTGTTAGAGAAACGTGTGCGTCTGTCCGCCTTACTTTTTGCTCTGATCGTAAGAAATTTTCCAAGGTTTTTTTGTCTCCGTATATTCAAGTCCACGAAATGCAATTAAATGATTGCTTTAATGCTAGAAATGAAATGGGTGAAAGCGAGGGGGAAGAGTTACATAAGGAAAAAGAAAAAAACGCGATTGTGAGAATTGATTAAAAAAAACATTTCATTTTTTTAAGTTAAGTGCGGAGAATAGCCTTTAAATTTATATTTAAGTACGTGTGGTGTGCCGGTCAGGAAGGGTTCGCAATGAAGTAAATTTCAAATAAATAATGTAATCGTAGATAAGAGCACGTAGAAGTGATTAAGCATTGTGTGCATACGACAAGCCGTATAATATATGTACGTTTGTTTGTTTGTTTATATATGCATAAATTTAATAAAAAGATAAAATTATATACGCACACTGGAATAATGCTTGGATACCATAAATAAGATGAACGCGAATATCGTTCGCAAAATCGTCTCCATATCGACATTATGATAATATAGGGGAAATAATATGTGGAGGTTAACATATTGTTGTATGTTTTTATTTCTTTTTTATTTTTTTTTATTTATTTTTTTTTTTTAAATATTATATCATTCATATGTGGGGAAGGAAGATAGGAGATGTGAGGTAAAGAGTGTGAACCGCACTGCGCAAATCAATTAACAACAACGATTAGCATGAATAAACGAGAGATGACGTTTGCGGGCATTTGCTTTGTGCTAGGTCAGTTCTAAACAAGGCATACACACATAAACAAACATATACTAGTGCATATTTGTGTATAAATATAAATACAAAAAAAAAGAAAAAAGAAAAAAAAAAACCAAATAAAAAAAAAAATAAATAAATAAATATATAGTGGATATGCGTGTATGCATGCATGTACCATTATATTGAGGGAAATAAGAGTACAACGTATTTTTTTCAGTCTAACCCAGTTTTCTCTCTTTAAAACACATACAACGACGTCAAAAGTACACCATCACGCATTAAATTGTATTCGCTCTTCTGTGAATTGTGATTTGTGGTAAATTTTTTTCTTAAAAAAAAAAAAAAAAAAACAAACAAACAAAAAAAAAAGGAAAAAAAAGCAGATGGCGCAGGGTGTAAGGTTATCATACTCCACACTTGTCATCTTTCGGGAAAGTTTGTTAAGACTACTTTTCGAATATAATAATCATTAAAAAGAAAAGAAACTGGTTATCGATTAATTAGATTCTCTTTTTTGACGCTTTAGTAATACATATATATGTATATATGCATATATATGTAATATAACTTTCCTTGGTACGTGAAACAAAAAATGAACTTTTGTTTCTTTGCATGTTATAGGGTCATCCGTTTTGTGGCTGCGAAAGTAAACGTAAATAAAACACATTTCTGATTAAAATTTGGATGAAATTTTTTTTGCCAATACACTACTTAGACTTGGAATACATTCACAGTGCAGTATATAGGAATGAATCCAGGATTACGTTTCATGCATGTTCATGTGATGAGGCTTACATCTGATGTACCTTAAGGACATTTACATGTGCAAAAATAAGTTTTAATTCTAGTTAGTTGTAGGCTGAAAATGAAATATAACAAGTGAATGACGTGAACGATATGGATGATATGGGGCTTCAACATATGCATGATGCATGACAAAATCAATAGTTTATTGAGAGATTAGTTCAATAAGTGTGCGTGTAATTCCCGAAAATGCCTATAGGTGAGTTTGGCACCAAGTTCATGCGATATATGTCTATTGGATTTTTTTTTGCTTTGAGGTTATGTTCGCACATTGGCTTTTTTCATGAAGATTATTCGTGTTATTGGTGAGATAAGAGTAGAGTGATGAGAAAAAGCGAGCAGAAAAGACTAGAAAAAGTGAAAACAGTTTTTTTTTGTTGCTGACCCTATGTATATGTTTTCATTGAAGTGTGCCTATTGAATATAAACATTTGAAATAAATTTAATTCAAATTTATACGATATCGTGTAACGATTGGTATCACGTTCGTAAAATCTTTATCGTATGATTTTATTTTCCTTAAACTGTGGATGGACGATGACTTTTATATCAAATGATCAAAATTTGCAAATTATTACAGCTCGCGTAAAGGCTGCATGCATGACCAATGCCCCAAGAATACTATCCAGTACAATTACCAGCTAAGCAAACTTTGAGATTGAAAACGTTCCGAAAATAAATGAAGGAAAACGGGAGAGGATTGCATTTTTCTTATCTTTACATAAAGCAAAGTTGGAAATATTTGACTGAAGAAAATGCAATTCGTTGAATAGTCATCAAACTAGATTCAATTAATTAATTGTCAATTGTGTTCTTGTGTTCTCCGAACGCTATAAAATAAGTAAAATATTGCTTTCAAAATTAATGCTCAGTCACAAAAATGTATCAAGCGAGGTTATTAATTTTATGCATCTAGAAATCGTTTAATAAAATTCCATGTGTCGTTACATCAACATTATGCATGAGAGAAATGTATTTGGAAAAGTTTATGGAGGCAACTCATCACCTAATTCAAATATCTACGTTCTCAGGCGTATAATTTCTTTTCATTCGCAACCTAGAAGCTTTTGCGAGGATGTATTTATGTTCTAATTCCCGTCCAGTCTCCTGTATGATGATCGCCTGGTTGACTGTTGCATTGGATTGCATTTTACTGCGCGTGCGCACGCGTGTGCTAGTGTGTGTGTGTGTGTGTGTGTGTGATATCAATAGTGTATTGAAATCCAACCGTAAGGAAAGGTGATTTCGAAACTGGAATTTGTAAGTTGGGTCATCAAGATTTGGCAAACTGATCGCTTTCAATGTGTAGCCCAGTGAAGGTAAGTGAAATCGACATGTGATAAAATCAGCAACGATTGTCGTTTTGCATATATTCACAATGTCATCTTTTAATATTAAACGATACGAAGTATAGTTAATTATCGTTTAAATAAAAGGATTTTTTATACCAAAAGTCGTCAAGGTCGTGCATTTTTATTTCCTAGAATTTAAAGAAACACTTAGGATAAAAAAATTTACTTAATTGCAAAGATGTTTCCATCTTACTTAGCGAACAGGCTACTTTATATTTACCTATGATCAATAAAAAAAAGTATTTGTCTCTGTGTGTGTGTGTGTGCTATTTTTTTGTTTTCATAACTTATTTTGTGATAAATGGGAGGGGGGGGGGGGGGGGGACAGATTTTGTTCGTTGTTTTTTAAGAGGACAAGATTTATTAAAAATATGCATGATCTTCATTTTTAAAATATTTCTCTCCCGACTAACTGTTGCGAAATTATTTTTTTAATCATGCGTTAAACTTGCTTGCTTGTTCTTGCCTGCTTATTGAGAAAGTGATAATGATTTGAAAACTTTAATTAGATTTATTCCTTTTCACTACACTTTCAGCGATAAGCAAAGTCGGCTCAAGAGTCCGCGGTAGAAAAGTTTCAAATTTAGACTGTAACGGTCTGAATTCGACCGTCAATTTTTCTGTATCCGAAATCATTTATGTCGAGCTTCAGAGGTCGTGATAGACGTGAACTTTTCTCAGAGGGCGTTTATTGGGCCATACACAATAAATATATCTGGTTTCTCCAGTGCAGTTCACATCCCTAGCTTATAGCGATTGTCTAACTCTCTGGAGAGTGCCGATTACGAAAAATGAATCCGTTTGCCATCGGGCGCCGTAAGGTAAAGTTTATAACAGTCGCTCACGTTAAACAAAAGCGACATTTGTCAAGCACCGGAAATCACAAGAATTTTGATCAGAGACTACTACAGCTAAAAATGATAAAGAAATGGGAAATATCAGTGTGCATAACGGTTGAATTCGATGGTTTTGGTCTTCGTTCACATAAAATAACTGTTTTCTACTCAATATTATTGATTTATTTAGCGTACGCCGACGCTTAAAATTCCTCTTCGTCCAAATTCATCATATTTGTTGTTTATTTGGAGAAATCTACTGGCGAAGCCCATCAAACTCGTGCACACCAGACTTATGATGATGTTTGTCCATCCAAACCGCGGGCTTGCGGGACCGTTGAAGAAGGGGCAAATTGCCCATTTAATGATATCGCCATTTTGCACAAAAATATTATAAAATATAGTAGTAAGTGATTGCAACTAATTTGATTAATCTACGTTGTACCAATTTTCCGCAATAAATGCGTTTTTCAAGTGAAAAACTGATCAAAATTAATGCAAACACCTAATATTAGTTTAGGGAAAAAGATAACCATTATTTTTTCGGTAGATGGCTGCACTGATAGATTTCTCGTAAAGTATCGATCAAACAATTTCAGATTTATGCTCGTTGGAAAGGTGACATTTCGCAGTAAAAAATATTCTTTGGCTGTTTTTTGTTTGGTGCATTCAGTTGTGAGTTACGTGTCAAAAATGGAAGTGAACAAAGAGAAAATTCGGTACATTTTACAGTTTTTCTTCGACAAAGGCGAATATGCAAGCCAGGCGGCCAAAATTGTGAATGGTGTTTATGGTTCCGATACTGTAACAGCCAATTATGTGGAATTTTCGTTTCGTAGAATTTTTGATGTTAAAGATGCACCTCGCACAGGTAGGCCGGTCGTCGAAAATGTCGATAAAATCGGAGAAATGATCGAGGTTGACCGGCATGTTAGCAGTCGTAACATCGCCCAGGCAAAATGGCAACAAATCATACAACAAAACGGTGCATATTTGACCCAAATCGGACAATCCGAAGCATATTAAATAAAGTCCTGAAGTTCATATAAAAATAATGGATTTCATTTTCCCCAAACTAATATATCCGTTATTTATATTTATCTTCTGTATATATTGATTGAATGATTCATCGATGAATTAATCCGTATACTGGATTCAAGTAGAAGCGGATAAAAAAAGTTTTCATCTATTATGCAAGTCCTATAAAAAAAGAAACATGCTTAATATATGCGAAGATTAATTCAATTATTATTATTATTATTATTATTATTATTAATTTCGCCAGAGAAATAAATTCTAAGACTAAACTCTTAAAAGCACTAGCATCTAAGGCTATCGGCTTTTATTATTATTATTATTAAAAACTCTACCGCACTTGAGATTCGAACCCACGACCATTGACTTGCTAGTCGAGACTCTTGCCTACTCGGCCACTCAGGCGGATTTAATTCAATTAATGTGAACCATGCTAGAGAAGATAATTATTTAAAATCGTATAATTATGAAATTTTAACTAATTTAATATCAAACGATTTGATTTACTCGCGAACATAGTAATCTCAGCAAGGGTGAAAGTGAGGTATTGTGCTTACAATTGTTTAAAACGAATTGCGATAACCTACTTACATACATCGTTTAAGAATGCGGCCTTCCTTGTGTGTTATTGCTTTGCTTTATAAACATTTGATCGATTTATTATATCTAATGTGAGAAATTGAAGAAATCGTTATTGTTTATCTATAAGAAGAAGAAGAGTCTAACAAGAGTTTAATTTTTGCTTAATAGAAAATTTTAGAAAGCTAACCTAAAGCCCGGCAGTTATTCAATATAACCTTTAGGTTATGAAAGCACAATAATTATACCGTTTGATTAAAGAAAGAAAAAACCGGCTTCATTTGGGTATAAAAAAAAAAAAAAAAAAAACAATCTGTTATTATTTTTGTTATTATATTTCAAGTAAATATTAATTGAAGCATCGTATATTTAAGAATAGTACAAGTGTGCGGGCTAAATATATTCTCTTGTAGAATATATCATTAACTTTAATAGTCGCACAAATAGTTTTTGTTTTTCTCAAAAGGTGAAATACCGTCTTTTAATTGTCGACCAAAGACAACCTACGGTGGCGAGTATATCAAGCTTCCTTCGCGGATGCCTGCAACACTCACATGTATTTATAATTTCAACATGTCCGTCTGTTCGTGTGAAGAGTGGGTGTTATTTATCTATTCAACCAATAGATTGAAATTTTTTATAATATCTAAGGGAATTTAATACACTCACGTGTTTTGCCTCAAGAACGAGCCATATCGAAAATGAATTAGATGGGAGCATTTTTACGATTCCCTTTCATATAATGAATGCCTTATTTATATAAAGCCGTTGTGAGAAAGAAAAAAGTCCTTACATAATAGCAAAAATCTGGATCAGATCGATTAATGTTTGTATTTTGAACCTCTTCCCATATTATTCCCTTATGTTTTTGAATTTCACTCGCTCCAGGAATTCTCGTGAAAAGTAAATCTTACATGGCAGCAAAGTCCAATTTTTAGACATTTTTATGACAAAAATCGATGAATAATAGTGATAAGATCTTTGATAGGTAATCATTCACTTCCATTAAAGACTCGCATAAAAATTATGCCGTCACGTGGAAACGAATAACAAGTTTTGGTATTTTATCACAAAGGTAATATAAAAAATAAATTTTAGGTTAAGGTATTTAGGTTAGCGTTGTCCGATTGTAGTTGCGTTGTCATGTAAACTTGATTTTGTAAAGATTTGATTTAATAAAGATTGGGAACCGATGCACGTTGAAAGTACTTCGGAATGCATGGAATGATCACCAACGCATACACCTGTACGTCACAAATTAAACCGACGAACTAATGCATTCACTTTTGATAGTTAATGCATTTATCCACAAAAAGAAGCCAGTTACAGCAGCTACGGCATACATAATTACCGCTACTGCTGTTATGGTACTATAGATAGAGATATATGTACATATGTAGATGTGTAAATCTATGCTGTTAGTTAGTATTGAATCATTAAATGTTGTTCGCTTGTTTGGTTGGTTGGTTGGTTGGTTGGTTGGTTAGTTGGTTGGTTGATGCACTTTACTTCATTGGTGTCTAACTGGTAATAGCCATCTTGGCAATGCATTTCACTTTCATTATGATGCAGTTTTCCATTTGTGATATGTTTGCATATTTATTTTTACCATCACTGCCGTCTATAACTTTTGATTTTTAATTTCAGTTGCATTTGAATACATAATAACAACGATGAGGTTGCTTTGTTTTCAATTTCGATTTCGACTTTGATTTCAATTTTTTTTTTTTTTTGATATCGTTAAGAGAATTGCATAGTTTTTGACTAAAAAAAGGAATCTCTCCGCTCGTAAATTTTACAAAAAAAAAAAAAAAAAAAATTCCTAGGAACAAATAAGAATATATGCGGGCTAAACAAACATAAACGGGGGCCAAAGCCCCAGAATGTTTATAATAATTTCAACGATTGCCTTGATTAAAACGCAAAAATGAATTGTCGCGGCCTCGATTAAATAATAAAGTAAACGATTTCGGAATATTAAATCCCTAGTTTCGGTAAAAAAAAAAATTCCCTTAAACTTTAAACTGCATATTGCTAGCAAAACACGATTGTTGCAAAAAAAAAAAAAATAAATAAAAAATAAAAAAAAAAAAAAAATAAATAAATAATATTATATTTTACGCTATACATAATCTAAGGATGGAAGAAGGAAAATTAAAGATGACACGCAAACGGAAGCAATTTCATGAAACATTATTAATGAGTCATATAATAAATGATTTTATTCAATTCATTTCTATTACGGAAACGTTTCAATAAGTTTCTCACATCGTAACATCATCATTAGTTATGTCGAGACTTTTTCATTTTTCGACATTCTAATCGTGTATCAATCATTATTAGTGTCGATATGATTGCGTTTACATAAGATCGAAACCCTTTACTTTTGTATCTTAACTCATTAAGAGATTTATCACATACTTATCACACCTGTTCGAGCTAAACTATTTGACAGTTTGATTTGAAGTTCACGTGAACGAACAGATATTAACGATATTAACAATGTTAGTATCGTTCATGTGAATATCAGAAACTTTCATATACATATATTTATTTATTTATATAAATAAATATATTAGAAGTTCGTCTTCAAAATGAAAATATCGAGAGAAAAAAAATTAAAGTTATTGTTATATGAGAAAATTTTGCCAACATAAATTTTGCTGATTTTTTCTCTCCTCTCTTTCTCTGTCTCTCTCTGTCGCCTGAAATCATGAAAAAAAGAGAATAAAACATAATTAGCCCGTGTCATGTCCACGCAACTAAAAATAGCAATTAACAAGCTAAGAACAATCGTGAAAGCAGTGACAATTGCGGCGGGAGCATTTTCGTCTTATGCAACTTATATGTACGGAAATATATTGTTAAGACGATCTAGGGATGAAAAAAAAAATGAAATTTGCATTTTATATATTTATTATTCATTCTTCCTTAGTCTATTTATTTTGTATGTACGGATTTTGACAGTGTTTCAGGACTTTTTCATACATAAGAGATTCATGATCACATGAGGATGCTATTTCATTCATTCATTCATCCATTCATTCATTCATTCAAAAAAAAAAAAAAAAAAAAAAAAAAAAAAAAAAAAAAAAAAAAAAA